TGAGTGGGGGTTTTGGAGCTTCCTCCCTTGAGAGCATTTCTCAGTGTCTGGTGGTGGGAAGAGCTCAGGTTCCCTGAGATTGACCACTGTGGCTCACAGAGCTAGTTTACGAGTTCTAGAACTTCCGAAGTAACGCGGAGAACATTTTTTGACACAGGTGCTCCAGGGTGGATTTTTTTCCCTTTTTAAATTTTATTATGGAAATTTCAGCTGTGGCACAGAAATAGGAAGAATGGTGTCCTCGCTACCCTGCCTTAACAGTTGTCCACATTTGAGGGGTGTCTCATGATAAATTGTCGTGGGACTTAATTCCTGAACTGTGGTTGAGTTTGTGGAGTGCCCCGGTCTCTGTACCCAGGTCACCTTTCTGGCGTGGTGGTGCACATAGTGTGCAAGTCCCTGATATTTGCCTGTGTTTTGTGTCCTTGTTTCAGGTGGAGGTGGAGGCAGTGTCCCTGGGATCGAGAGGATGGGCCCTGGCATTGACCGCATTGGGGGTGCCGGCATGGAGCGCATGGGCGCAGGCCTGGGCCATGGCATGGATCGCGTGGGCTCTGAAATTGAGCGCATGGGCCTGGTCATGGACCGCATGGGCTCAGTTGAGCGCATGGGCTCGGGCATCGAGCGTATGGGCCCACTGGGCCTCGACCACATGGCCTCCAGCATCGAGCGCATGGGCCAGACCATGGAGCGCATCGGCTCCGGAGTGGAGCGCATGGGTGCCGGCATGGGCTTTGGCCTCGAGCGCATGGCCGCGCCCATCGACCGCGTGGGCCAGACCATTGAGCGCATGGGCTCTGGTGTGGAGCGGATGGGCCCTGCCATTGAGCGCATGGGCCTCAGCATGGAGCGCATGGTGCCCGCAGGCATGGGGGCTGGCCTGGAGCGCATGGGCCCTGTGATGGATCGCATGGCCACCGGCCTGGAGCGCATGGGCGCCAACAACCTGGAGCGCATGGGCCTGGAGCGAATGGGCGCCAACAGTCTCGAGCGCATGGGCCTGGAGCGCATGGGCGCCAACAGCCTGGAGCGCATGGGTCCTGCCATGGGTCCGGCCCTAGGCGCTGGCATTGAGCGCATGGGCCTGGCCATGGGTGGCGGTGGCGGTGCCAGCTTTGACCGCGCCATCGAGATGGAGCGAGGCAACTTTGGAGGAAGCTTCGCAGGTTCCTTTGGCGGAGCTGGAGGCCATGCTCCTGGGGTGGCCAGGAAGGCCTGCCAGATATTTGTGAGAAATGTAAGTGGCTCTTGGGCAGATTCTTGGTGGTGGTACGCACAGAGGGGGAGGGGGCGGGTCGAAGTCAGGGGGGTGACCCCAGGAGGGGAGCGGAGTAGCAGCGCAGAAGGCCACCTTGCCACTGTCCCCAGAGTTTGGTGCTGGTAGGATCAGGGCAGAACGTAAGAGCACGCGGTATGTGTGCAGCTGGAGCCGGGGCTTCTCGGACTGCTGGGTGGAACCGACCGTGAGCTCAGGAACCCTAGCTGCTTGATTCCCTTGGCTTGATTCCCTTGCCACCTGGGCGTGGCAGACCGAGGGATAAAGGACTGTATCTAAATTCTCTTTCTACCAGATTGACCACCTTCAGCTACTGTCGAGTGGTCTGTGGGCCGCTCACCATAGGCGACTGCATTTTCTGCACGTTGAACAAGGAAGTGTACTTGGTGTGCTGGTTTAGAACCTCATTCCAGGCAGGCTTGTTTTGTTCTCTGCTGATCGTCTCAGTTTGAGATGTTTCTTGGTGCAACAAGAACCACTCCCCCGCCCCCAAGAGACCCTGAGGTTTATGCGTTTAGGGTGTTAGGATTTGGTTGTGTCACTCATCAGTTTCTCCTTTTCCCTTTAGCTCCCATTTGATTTTACATGGAAGATGCTAAAAGACAAATTCAACGAATGTGGTAAGTGTTTGAGAAAAGGCTTTCTAGGTGCTTCCGTGTGTTGTGGCCTCCGAAGTCTTAGCTTGTTAGTGATGCATTTGAGGGGTGAAGCAAAGCTCCCATCCTGGTCTTCACTGCCACTTGCCATGACTGGCGACTGATGGGACTTGCCATTTTTCTGCCCGTGCAGATAGTCAAGCCAGCTGTTGGGTTTCCTTTTATGTGTCAGACACTTCTCACCTGTGTTCTCATGTCAACCTCGTTCTTCTATGGTTTTTGAAAGGAGGTGATGTCCCCGTTTTACAGATGAGTCAGGCAGTCACGTTCCCAAAGTCACATGGCTTCTAAGTGACAAAGCTGAAGGAAACAAATACTGATCTGAGATGAGGTTGCTTTCTACCACAGCACTGTTGGTTCATGCCTCAGAGAGCACTTGCCCAGGAGTTCCCAGGGGTGGAGTGTGTGTGTGTGTGTGTGAATGAGGCCTAGGGGCTCTGGTTTCCCGGCACACCAGGCCACCCATTTGGTTCGCTTTGTGGCCAAAAGGAAGTGAAGTTGTCACCGGGTGAACCCCTGCCCCTCACTCACACCACCTCTGTTTTTTTAACCCTGTCAAGTGGGAGCCCCAGGCCTAAGCCAGGAGTCTGGGCGGTTTGCCGGGTCAAGGCTTCCTCAGCGTCTTTACTCATTTCCTGTTTCAGTGTTGGCTCAGATTGCACCACTTTGCCGCTTCTCCTGGTTCTTCTCTTGGGGCAGCTGTTGAGCCATAGCACGCCCTCGTGCCCTCTCCCCACTCCTCAGTTTCTACATTGTACAGTAGGCAGTCTGAAAAGTCAGATTGGATCATGCTGCTCTCCGGCCTGAGAGGCCCGGAGGTACCTGGCTGCCAAAAGAGAAACTCACCAGCCCCTTTGCAACTTAGTCCCTCCTCTTTCATCTCCTTTCTCCTTCCTGTCCCTGAACCCTGAGTTGCAAGTGCCATTTTTCAGAAGTGCTTTATTTCGAGCTGTGATGGCAAGAGTCAGCCTTCTGGTGAAGGTCTTTCAGAACTTTCTGCTGAGAAGCCCTGGAGATGTTGACCTTCCCTCAGGCTGAGTTAATGGCTCTAGAAACGTGGGTCCCTTAGCACAGGCCGCATGGTCCTGTCCTTTGCTCTTCCCCCTTACAGACTTGTTTCATGGTGCTTGGCACATACCTGGATGCTTAATCAGTGCTTGAGTAAATATGTGAAACCCACTTCCTAATTAGGATGCAGGTTAAACCTGAACAGTACAGAGTGTCCATTGTATCATGATGGCCTTGCAAATGTGGTGTGGGGTCTTGAAGCCCAGGCCTCTGCAAAATTCACCTATAAAGTTGGCTGCACGCGGCCCCCCTTTTAACTCTCTCGAGCGTAAGGGTATGCGCGTGTGAAGCTGCCAGGAGGCCTTGTCACGGGCCGGTCCCATTATCGTCCTTTAGCAGAAGAATGGCAACGTGGCTTGAGGGCCATCGTCTCTGGGTTCCGGCTGCTGCCTTCTGAGCATTCGTGTGCCAGGGCCGCTCTCCCTTTTGACTCTGTCCACCGACACCCAACAGGTGATCTGGACTGGGTGGAGCCCAGACTGAGGCTGAGCTCTGGGTCTGCCTGATGAGTTGTGGTCTCTTCTTCCCTCCCTGTGCCCAGGCCACGTGCTGTATGCCGACATCAAGATGGAGAACGGGAAGTCCAAGGGGTGCGGTGTGGTTAAGTTTGAGTCGCCAGAGGTGGCTGAGAGAGCCTGCCGGATGATGAATGGGATGAAGCTGAGTGGCCGAGAGATTGATGTTCGAATTGATAGAAATGCTTAAGCGGTTGCCTTTTTTAAACATCGATACCAGACCTCTGAATTTGTATTTTTTCTTGTTAACCATTTTAATTTGTTGGCTGGATGTATAAAGATGTTTAAAAAATTCAGTTGCTTTTTGGGGTAATTTGAATTACTTTTTTAATGACTGGGGTTCCATTTGACTGTTTGCATTGAGATTGCAATGTGCGCAATTTTTTTTGTAGTTGTGGCATCTTGTTGACATCGAATATGACTTTGATAATAAATACCAGTTCCTGAAAAGACGCTTGCTTTTTGCGTGTGTGTTGTGGGGCATCCACCTGAGGTTCGGGGAGCTAGAACCAGTCTTCCTTCTACCCTTGGAGCTCTGGCCACTGGGGGTCGCATCCCCATCCTTGCTTTGTGTGTGGACGCCGATGGGGGGAGGACATGGGCCTCGGCCACTTCAGGAGAACTCTCTGGAAACTGAGCGGACTTGGATTCTCCAGTGCTGGCATGCACTTGGATGTTAGTGGTTCTGAAAGCCGCCATCCCCCCTCCTTGCTTACAGTTCCTCTTGGGGGCGTAGACATGGTGTCAGGCTCATTTCCAGTTTGGCTTTTGTCGTAGTCTACCTCGGGCGCTATAACAAAGGTACCATAAACTGGGCGGCTTAAACACAGACGTTTATTTCCCACAGTCTTGGAGACTGGGAAGTCCAAGATCAAAACACTAGCAGATTCCATGTCTGGCGAGGGTACCTGATCGTGGTTCATAGACGACACTTTGTAGCTATAATCTCAACATGGTGGGAAGGGACAGAAGGCTTCTCATTCCTCTTTTATAAAGACACCAATTCCACTCACCCCCCAAATACCATCACATTGGGCATTAGGCTTTCAACCTGGAAACTTGTGTGTGTTGCGGGGGGGGGGGGGTCGATACGTTCAGTCCAAGGCAGCGTTTCTTAGCTACCACAGACTAGGCAGGGTGTGAGTTTCTGAGCATGTTTAGTCCTGTAGCAGCTCAGGCGGAGCGTGATACCTGGGCTCTGTCAGAACTGGGTCACCCCTCCCTCCGTCCACCAGGATGTGACCTCATACATAGGTCCACTTGGGCTAGACAGCTGTTGGCAGCCCGCGTGGAGTTGCAGCCACTGCTTGTCGTGTTTGGATGTGGCGTCCTACCCTTGCTGTCACCTCCTCGTCACACTTCTCCTGGTGTGTATCCCTGATGGGTGAGGCGGTGGGGGTACAGGGTCGACTTCACAGACCCCCAAGGAGATCATGTCTCCATTGGGTGCCAGTCAGGGGAGAAAGAAAAGACAAGAAGCAGGGATCGCTTTAAATAGGAGCTTTATGTGGTTCATGTATGCAGTCAGGCACCAGCCTGGATGGTTCTGTGACTGCCAAGCTGGGATCCAAGGCTCCTGGTTTAGCAGGTGGCTGGGCGGGCAGGTTGTCCTGGGTACCCACACCTGTGGGCCTTACTGTCCCCTGGGGAATGGATGGCTCTCCAGAGGGTCTGCCAAGGAAGGGAGGGTGACTTCCGTTGCCCACCCGCCCCCCCCCCCCCCGCCCCAAGTAGATAGCAGCCCCTTGGGGAAACGGGGTGTGGGAGGGGTTACCTCCTTCCAGGCACCGTGATCCCTTCCAGCCCACCTAGAGCATCTACATACCCTAGAAGCCAACATCGTCATACACCTCCGTTTCCCTGGCGGAAAGTACGGCTTGGTCAGTAAGGGTCACCTCGGCCCGTTGACCAGCCCCCTACCCCCCACCCCCAGCCAGGGCCAGTCAGTACTCACAGGGGCAGTAGAGCGGTTCTGGGCACGTAGCCATCTGCAAAAAGAGTGGAATAGGTGAGCTCCCGGCGCTGGTGGTGGCCCGTTTCCCTAGGACTTTCTGGCCTGACTTACATTTGCCCTTGGTGTCCCGGCACAGCATCTCGTCCTTGTTGGTGAACTCGATCACCTCTAGGATCTCCCCACGCCGGATCCCCAGGTACTTGCCACCCCCGCGACGCGTCTTGGCGTTGGGATCGATCATCATCCTTGTCTGAATCACTATCTCCCCCTCAAACTGGGGAGGGAGAAGTTAGAGCTTTTGTTTTGTGCTGTCACCCCAGGGCTTTGGTCACCTAGGGCTGTGCCAGATCTCCCAGGGCTCCTGTTCACAGAGTTGTGGTGTTCACACCTTGAACTTCTTCCGGAACTCCCTCTCGGCTTTCTCTGCCTTCCGGATCTGCTTCAGAGACTTAAGGTCTGCAGGTGGCAACTGCTGTGGCTGGGGGGCCTTCTCCTTCCTGAGGAATTGGAGGGTCCTGTGCAAGATGTGCCCCCCCACCCCACCCCCGTCCCCTTCCTGACCTCCCAGACCTCGGCCCCACCCCGTTCTACACACACCCTTTGCCCTGTGGTACCTGAGCTCTGGGTCTTGTGGCGGCCTGGGGGGTTGCTGGGTAGATGGCACCCCATCTGGGAGCGGGGAGAACACTGAGTTAGGGCAGGGACTCTTGGGCTAGGCCTCCCTTTCAACCCTGGTGGCTTGATTGGGAACGGAGCCTTCCCTGTGTCAGTTCTCAGGACGTCAGTCCCCTCCCATCCCTCACCCTGCCCACCGGCCCATCTTCTCCCCAGGCCTTTTTCCTGGGTTGTGAGTTCTAGTGCATTGCCTTTCATTTTCGTAACCGTTACTGCATGATCGGCAAGGCTGAAATCGTTCACCACAGTAACTGCTTCCAACCCTCATGACAGCCTTCCTCGTAGCGGGCAATACAGTCATTCCCAGCTTGCTGAGGAGGGAAGTCAGGGCTCAGAGAGGGGTAAAGCGGTCTGCTCCCGGGTCATCCAGCTGGTAAATGGTAGAGGGAGGATTTGTCTGTGGGCTTTTGAGGCTATTTCGTGTCTGTCTCCTAGGGTAGGCTGGCTTCTGGGAATTGTCATGGGATTTGGGTCAAACATAAGGTGAAAGCGTATCCTTGAGCAAATGAAGTGGGCATCTGCGAAGGGGCTGGTGGGGTGGGGTTCTTGGACTGGCCTGGCTGCTGCTGAGACTGTACTGTGAGTCTCCCAGGTCAGGGTTGACTTCCTGGCAAACTACCAGCCTTCCAGGCAGGAGCCTGCTGACTGAGGGTTTGGCCTATAGCGAGAGCCTCGTGAGCACCAGTTGAGTGAAGGATCCAGAACCTGAAGCCCCCGCCTTTTCACTTCAGACTCCAGCCTCCTTGGCCTGGTGCTCGGATGGTGCCATCCATAGTCTTACCCAGGACACTCCCTCCCGCTGCTCCCACTCCTCCCGGAGGCACTCCGGGGCCCCTACCCCCCTGGCACACCTGTAGCCCAAGCTCCCTGGCAGTGGGACCCAAATCAGGCCACACAAGTAAGGCGGGCTCTGAGGATGGCCCCTTCAGGTCCTGGGACCACCTAGGTCTGGCCCCAGCGCCTTCCAGGGAAGCCCCCTGCTGTGCGAGGAACCTCTGGAAGAGGGCCGCCACCGTTCCAGAATGAGGCAGAGTGGGAGGCTAGACTTGGAAAGGCCAAGTAGCCTTTGGAACAATCGGTACTAACAGTGAGTCGTCCCCCCCCCCCCCCGACAGTGTCTGAGAAGGGAAAGATTTGGGAAGTGTATTTGATTGGAATCGCAAAGAACGACTGACCCGGAATGGGGAGAGACAGTTGTCCACTGGCAGGGATGGTGAGCAGAGGTGGGGATGTGCCTGGCCGGTTTGGAGCTGGGGACGGGGGCGGGCCATGCCTGCAAGGCTGCTGGACAGTTACCAGAGTCACCCTCTCTCTCCCCATGTCCCTGTCCCGAAGAGCGGCCCCCAAACCCCAGCCACCGGAGGCTCACTGGAGCGGAAGCAGGAGGGGCCCTGCCAGGAAGCTCTGCTAACAGAGGGGTGTTGCAAGCAGCCCCTGAGGAAAGCCCAGGAGAAGCAGGAGGGGCTCGGGAAGGAGGAGTGCAGGCAGACCTGGTGCGGGGGCTGGTGGGGAGGAAGCGGGCGCATCCCAAAGGCACCCCCAATACAAAGTTGCCCTGTAGGAAGCCCTTCCAAAGGTGGGGCGAGGGAACCGGGACCACAGGACCTGGGCTCCTGTGTACTGACAATGAGCTGGGGCAAGTTACTTGGGTCAGGCTTCCACATCTGTAAAACGGGCATGATGCGGCCTTGGGGGTGGGTGGGTGGGAGGTCGTGCAGGGTCAGTGACGTGCACGTAGAGTGCCTGCACGGAAGCCGCTTTTTTTCCCCCCACTCGAAATTGGTGAAGGCATTGACCCTGCAGTGGACTGGACACGTTGGGTCGGCTCCACCGTCCTCCTGCTCTCTCGGAGCAGAGACTTGGGAGAAGGGAGAAAAGGGGACCTTTCGGACCCCGGAGCACAGAGTATCGAGGACCACAGGCTCAGGGGTCTCCGTCTCCAGCCTGTGCCCGAGTTCAGGCCCGAGTCCCGCAAGCACCTCCGACACAACAGGTCTGTGTGGAACCTGACCCCTTGTCCCCAGCTCAGGGTGCCTTGGCTCTGCACCCAGGCGTTGGGCTCGAAACGCGGGCCTCATCCGCGTCGTGGGCTCGCTCTCGCCCGCCTGGTGGCTCACACACCACCAGGTCCTTGTTCGCGGCTCTTTCACCCCTTCTGCCACCGCCCCGGGCCGCACTCCTGGCCACACCATACCCACTGGCTGCTCCGCCCACCAGAGGCTGGTCAGACCTTTCCGGAGGGCCTTTCCTGCTCTCTGCTTTCTCCCTCAGTGTTGCCGGGGAGACGGGTGGTCACTTGGCTTCACGCCAGCAGCGCGGCAGAAGATACCCTGGCGATGGATGGTCCCCAGGTGCCTGGGCGGAGGGTCTGGCTGAGGGCTCGGCCCCACCACCCACAAACCTCTGCCCTCGCCGCTGGGGCCGGAGTGGTCCGTGGGCCCCACGTCGTCATACAGCTCGTAGATCTCATCCTGGTCCCTGCAGAGATACCGGAGATGAGGGCCTCTTGCGGCCTCGGGCCTGTGCCGGGGCCGCTTGCCCCCCACACTCACTGCGGGATGTCCTTCGTCTGTTGCTCCTGGAAGTGGATGGCAGCAGCGGAACGAGCCCTCCTCAGAGCTGTGGGGGGAGGAGAGCGGGAGGGAGGCGGGCCCTGGCGGGAGCCTCTCCCCGGCTTTCTGCCTGGGCCGCCGCGCCCCACCTGTGGACCCACCTGTGGCTGCAGCCGCGGCTCTCCGGAAGCTCTGAACGTCCCTGGGGCCTGGGGGCAGCGGGGGCTTGGCTGGAGGGGGTCCCAGGCTGCTGGCAGGGGGCAGAGGCCTCCGCCGGGGCGGGTGGCCCTGTTTGAGGCCCAGCCTCGACCGTCCACTGTGAGTGAGACTGAGTGGGAGCCTGGGGCCGGGGCCCGCGACAGCAGTGGGGAGCGAGCTCTCCGAAACAGAGCCAGGGAGAGGGGGCTTTCTGGGAAGAGCACCAAAGAACTCGGCATGCGGGCGCTTCTTGGGCAGAGCACTGGGCTCGGGCTGTGAGAACTTGCGGGGGGGCCCCTGGCACTCAGGCTGCAGGAACTTGCTGGGGAGTAGGCCAAACTCAGGCTCTGAGGCCACCCTGGGGAGGCCCCCCGGCTCGGGCTGCAGGGGCTTCTTGGAAGGTGCTTTGAATTCGGACTGCCGTGGCCTCTTGGGAACCACACTGACTTCCGGCTCTGAGGACCTCCTGGTGAGGTCTCCAAAATCAGGGTGCAGGAGCTTCTTGGGGAGGTCACTCAGCTGAGGGGCTGGGATCTTCTTGGGAAATGTACTGAAGTCAGGCTGTGATGGGTGGGGGTGGGGCTCACTGGACTCAGCCTTCCAGGGGGGTGTCTGAGGGACCTCACTGAACTCAGGCTGCGGCAGGCATTTCTTAGGGAGCTCACCGACCTGAGGCTGCGGGGGCTTTCTGGGGTGCCCACCGAACTCAGGCTGTGGGGGCTTCTTGGGGAGGGTACTGAAGTCAGGCTTTGAGGGGTGGGGGTGGGGCTCACCAGTCTCAACCTTCCAGGGGGGTGTCTGAGGGACCTCCCTGGACTCAGGCTGCGGCAGGCACTTCTTAAGGGGCTCACCGACCTGAGGCTGCGGGGGCTTCTTGGGGAGGGTACTGAAGTTGGGCTGTGAGGGGTCTGGGGTGGCCTCGTTGGGCTCAGGCTGCTGTAGCTTTTTGGGGAAGGCGCTGGATTTGGGCTCTGGGGGGGGCAAGGCCTTTTGAGGGGCCCCGAGCTGCGGGAACTTCTTGGAGGGTTCACTGAACTCGGGTTTGGAGGGCTTCCTGGGCAGATCAGCGAAACTGGGCTGCGAAGGCTTCCTGGGCACTGCATTGAACTCGGGCTGCGGGGGCTTTTTGGGGTGCTCGCTTAGCTCAGCTGTTGGAGGCTTCTTTAGGGGTTTGTGGAACTCAGGCTTCAGGGGTTTTTTGGGGAGTTCGCTGGTCTCGAGCTGAGAGGCCTGGAACTTTGCTTGAAGGCTCCGGAAGTCCTGAGGGCTCCCCTAAGGAACATGGAGCCAGAGTCAGGCAGGGACTCTCTGCCGACTTCTCTTCCCCTGACTGTGTCCTTGGCTCTCTCCAGTGTTGGCTGAGGACTCCCACATTTGTCTCCAGGCTCCCCGGAGCCCTGACCCCTTAGGCACTGCATATGTGCCCCCAGGCTCACCCCCATCAGGACCCAGGCTCCTGCTGCTCCCCCAGTCCCCCCTCGGTTGGTGGTGCCTTGCAGGTGTCCTTGAGATACCCCGTTCCTAGTAACTTCTGTTTTGATTTCAGAATACATCCAGAATGCAGCCACTTGTCACTGCCTGTACCGCTGTCATGCGGGCTGGAGGAACCCAGGCCCTCCTCCTGGGTCTCCTGCCGCCCCCCCCCCCCACCGCCCCCCAGTCTCATCTCTGGCCAGGCCCTGCCCCCACAGCAACCAGAGGAATCCCCTCTGCTCAGAATCCAGCAATGTTCCTTTGTTTCCCCATGGTAAAAGTCAAAGACCCCATGAAGGCCCTGAACCATCCATTGGCCTCCCCTACCTGGATCCTTCCTCGCCTGGCCACCTCTTCCTCCCCCTCGCCCTCCCCCCTCCCGTCCCCCAGTGTCTCGGGCCTTTGTCCTGCCCCCTTGCCCGTGACACTTCTCCCCATGGCCTGCTTCTCGCCTCTTCCACCTCCAGGTCTCTGCTCGTGATAATTTCTCTTCTTTCTTTAAAAAATGTTTATTTTTGAGAGAGAAAGGCAGAGAGAGAGAGTGGGACAGAGGATCTGAAGCAGGCTGTGTGCCGACAGCAGAGAGCCCGACGCGCGGCTCAAACTCACGAACCAGACGAGGTTGGATGCTCAGCCGACTGAGCCACCCGGGCACCACATCTCTGATATTTCCTTATTAGAAAAGGCCTTCCTCCTAGACCACCCATATTTTAAAAAAATCGATTCCCCCCTTCCCCTCCCAGTCCTCCCCATCCCCCTGCCCTGCATTTTACTTTTAGTACTTGCTGCAAAGTATCACAGAGTTTATTTGCCACGGTTTCATAAATGTGCCCTGACTGTTCTGTTTGTTTGTTCGCTCTACCCTCCCCAGACCCCGTGGCAGGTCAGGGACTTGGCTCACTCGTTGTTCTCCTTCCAGTGCCTGGCACACTGTGGGGGCTCAGCAGAAATAAATATACATACACAAAGGCGTATACTCAGCCACGTCCTGTCTGTCATAAGCCTCGTGGAGAAAGACACACAGAGGCCCGGCGGCAGATGTGGGCTGAGGGTCACGGTCCCACACACCCTTTGCTGACGGTCAGGGCACTCACAGTTGACCGGCAGGCAGGCCCAAGCGGCAGCACAGGCACGTGCACCTTGGCACACCTAGTCTGACCGGCCCTGTACCCTCTGTCACAGACACAGGCGGACAGGCCAGGCCGGCTCTGACCAGAGGTGGCCCTGCTGCAGGCCCCCAATCCTGGCTTCACCCGGGGCCTAGGAGATTGGGGAGTGGGGGTGGGGGCAGGGCAGAACCGTGTGTACTTTGCTGTCTTGTCTGTGCCTCACTTTCCCTATCCCAAGAAGGAGGAAAGGTAGTGACTCCCGCCCGGGGCCTGAAGTACCTCTATTAAAGCCCCCCTCCGGGAGGGTGGGGCCAAGGATTCCCTGGGTGACCCACAGGACCAGAGAAATCAGGATCAGCGGGTCATAACTTGGGTGACTGCTGGGGTGCAGGGTGGGCAGTGGGTACGTGACCCACTTTGTCACCCGTAGGAAGCCCCTGTGTTCACGCTGGTCTCCTGTTGCCAGGCTGCTTTTCCTGCTGACCTGTTCCTCCTGTTAAAGTCGAAACCTCAGCCTGGGCCATAGGCCCCTTGGAGCCCCAGCTGTCCCAGCAGTGAGTCCCGGCTGCTTCCCGCCTCTGGGCCTCTGCGGTGGTCATTGCTGTTTACCTGGGTGGCTCTCCTAGCCCCTCTACCACTCACCTCTTGGAATATGCCCTCCAGTCTCCAACCACAGCACCCCTTGCCTGTGGCCAGTGGCGGAGTGGGGGGGGGCTCTCCTAGGGTTGGGGGTTCACTCACCATGGCTACAGGCGGGTGATGGGCCACAGGGCGAGTGGGACCTGAGCTGGGCCGCTGCCTTCAGGAAGTGACTGTGGCTTCTGCTCCACGGGCCCCACGGGGGTGGGGGCTGATGGCGGGGTGGGGAGGACAGAGGAGGAAGGAAAGGAGGCGGAGACAGCCTCCGCCTGCCCCCAGATCCTGCCTGGCATTTGAGTTCCCGTCCCGCCTGCTGCTGTCTCTCCGTGGCTTTGGGCATCGGCCGTCAGCACATGCCCAACACGGTCACTAGTTTCTTGACTCTCTGTAGTTCTGGGGGCTGGCTGACTTCTGGTCTCCAGGGAGGACTCCTCGGGAGGGCGAGTTCTCTGTGGGTAAGGGGCATGGTCAGCTCTGGGCCGGGAGACCAAGGAGTTGGGGGAGCGTGACGAGGGAGGTCCTTCTGCCGGCTCGTGTTGCCTCATCCGCCTGCCCCATTTCCACACTTCCCCACGGATTCTCAGCTCTGAGCAGGACTTCCCTATTGTAGGGGCAGCTGTCTGTCACATGGGCCACGGACACCGTGGTGGACAGGGGGCCCGGCCCAGATGGCGGATTTGGGGGGGGGGTGGCTAGTACATAGGGCCTTGCCTGCTGGGGAGGGAGGGAGTCTGAGGACACCCTAGGTGTCCAGAAGAGGGTGGGAAGAAAATGGAGACAGCGGGGAGACCAGTGAAGAGGGGGTGAAGGGAGGGGCAAAGCCAGCGCTTGTTAGGGTCAGGCGCGCAGACCAGGGGAGAAGATCCCTCCCGGGAGAGTGCAGAGCCCCGATTCTGTTTGGCAATACACGGGAATGGCTCTTACAGAAAGATGGAAGGAAGCCCCTGGAGATTCTGACTTAATTGGCCTGCGCCGAGGGGGATTCTAACGTGCCCACGGGTCACCCTGAGACCCCCTTAAAGTGCAGGTTCTGCCCCAGGTCTGTGGTGGAGCCTCAGGTTCCTAGACACCCTAGGCGATGTCCCAGAGTAGCGAGGGCGTAGGAGGACGCGGGAGGTTTGTCTTGAGGAGGCTGCATTCCCAGCTGGAGCCATTCAGCGGCCGCCCTGCCGTGGAGGCCACCGGCCGCATGGTCGGAAAGCACTCCGTTCGCGCCTAAGACGCACAGCTTGAGGATTCTGGAGCGTCTGTGCCCGCCCATCCTCACCACTGCACGGGCAGACGTGCACCCTGGGTCACATTCCCAGAATGTGGGTCCCCTCGGGGGGGGGGGGATCGGGGTGAGGAGATGTGGGTCCTCCCTGGGTCTCCGGGTGACCGACACTCCCAGTGTTTGGTGAGAGAGGGAAACGAATGAAAGAAAAAGCGATCATTGGCCAGAAACACACAGTAGGTGCCCAATCCAGGGCAAAGCCAAAGGACTGGACACTGGTGACAATCTGGTGACTCCCCAGGCTCCAGGGCCAGCCACTCCGTGGGGACTCTGGATTTTGCAGTTGGGAGGGCTCCACCCTGGAGAGCCCTATTTCCCCACAGCCCCCCTTACGGGCATTCCCCCAACTACCCTTGGTGTTTGGAGCCTTTCCAGTGGCCGTAGGCTGGTCTGCATGGCGAAGCCGTGAACTTGGACAGGCGGGTCCACCAATGGAGCTGCGGGGACCAACCCCCGAAGCGAACACGCGGGCCTCAGTCCGCCTTGGGGAGTTGTGGGGGTGGGGAGGCGTCTGCTGGGACCAGCGTCTGGAACCCTGGTTTAGGGAAGTGTACCGGTTCCGAGCACACGGTGGGGGGTGGGGGGTGGGGGTGGGGGTGGGGGGGGGGCAGGGACAGGGGCGGAGTGGGCACATTCAGCCGTGCACCTGGCTGCCCTGGTCGGAGGTGGGGGTGGAGCAAGGGATGGACACGGCGGTGGAGGCCACGCTGAGCCGTGCACGTGGTCCCAGTGCACGCAGTGGAAGAGGACTGAGCACGTGGGCGGCCCATCCCGGGGCCACGGGGCGCTCGGAGGAGCCAGGGGCCCGGGATGGGGGTGCTCGGATCCGTGTCAGAGGCAGGGCTCCGGGACGCGTGCCCAGGAGCCTTCATTTCCCCTCTCAGTCTGGTGACGGGGCATGGTCGGCAACTGCCGGGCGGTGGGCGGGTACCTGGCCGGCCTCACGGCTGACGTAAGCTGCCTGCAGAGGCTCAGTGTTTCCACGTGACCCGCAGTCTCTTACCAACCTGTCCCCGCGGCGGGGGGGCAGCCAGGCCAAGTGGACGCCTGCAGGGACGTGCTTGCTGTCTTTCCCTGTCCCTTCAGATGGACACTCCTGGGCGCCCTCTGCTGGGCAGAGCCGGGGCCCCACGAGGACTCAGCTGTCAGGCATTTTGTGGTTGGGGGAGGGGGGACCATCTGTGGAATCAGTTTGGCCGCATGGGCTTGGTGGGCAGAGGGACGTGAATCGCTCAGAAACATTTCCCAAGTGTCCCCCCCCTCACCTGGTCCCTCTGAATCTTCACAAGGATTCCAGGGAGTGAGCAAGCATCGCGACACCCATCTTAAGGACTAACAAACTCAGAAGTGGGGAGGTTGAATCTTCTCCAGGATCAGAGTCCTGGTTCCAAGGCTCATGGCAGAGAAGAGGAGAGCTCTGAGGGGGCCTGGAGCCCCGGGGTCCCCCGATGGCCCACCTGGCCCCACAGCTGGCGCTCGGCGATACCTGCCTCAGCCCGGGCCTGGAGGTGCTGGTGGACAGACACCTGGCCTAAGCCAGCTGAGTCTCAGCTACAACCCCATTAAGGGCATCACAGCCCTGAAGCCCTCCGTGAGATCTCGGGTGGCCACAAAGGCAGGCAGGTAGGTGGGCAGGCGGGCCCCTGGGTGCAGGTGGGCCGATCCTAAGGGCACTCAGACCACCCCCCACACCTGCCTTCAGGAGAGGATGAAGGGCCTCTCTGGAGTTTGGGGCTGTTCACCTGCAAGGAGGCTGGGGCGGTCTTGTTCACGGAAGGGCTATGCTCCCCGGAAGGAGAGGATAAGGGGGAAGAGGAGGGTGGTGAGGGAGGGCATGGGGAGGTTCAAGATGGGCCTTGTGGGCTATTAGGAGAACACGGTCTCCATCCAGAGAGCCGCGGGGAGCCACGGAAGGGTACCGGGTGGGCATCAGAAGAAACCCCCGTTTCCAGAGGTGATCAGATTGTTGGGGGGTTGGGGAGGGCAGGAGGGTTGTTGCTTCAGGTGCCTGAGGAAGGGAAAGGGTTGAGGCCCGGGCTAGGGGACCGTGGAGCCGGGAGGGAGGCAAGACGCAGGAAGGAAAACTAGCCTCTGAAGGGTGGCTGTCAACAACGCAGAAGGCTTTCACATTCAGGAGGCTCGGCCCGCTGGGTTTTGGGGACTACAGGGCTGGGACAGCAGTGTGGCCCCAGAGTTTGAACGCGTGGACCCAGGACTGACTTCCCAGGAAGGAAGGGAAAATCCTTGCGGTTAGAAGACTGAAAGGGAAGTGGTGAAGAGGGAGGAGCCAGGCCCCCTGGGGCTGGCTCTGACCCACCTTCCTCTTCAGAGCTGGCCTAGGGGGAGAGGTGAAAGCAGGGAGCCAAAGAGGAGGGTCCCCAGGACAGTGACCAAAACAAAACCCGAGCCTAGCCTGCCTGAGTGCCCAGCCCTGGGGGCCCTGTCACCTGTGAGTCCACACCAGCCTCAGGATTGGCGAGTGGCTCCAGCTGGGCCAGGCCCTGCCTCCCAGCCTGTCCTACCCCACTGATTCCTGGGACTTCTAAATAAACGTGGGATTTCCATCCCATCTGGTTTCTGGAAATGGTGGGACAAGACAGGACACTGGCAGTCCTAACTGCTGCCGGTTAGGGTAGCACTGACCCGGTCCCGGTGTTAAGGTGAGGTTGAGGGGAAGCGTGTCCCCTCCCAAGGTATGAGCATCCCAGGGCTGCCAGACTGTGCACTGGGAGGGGCAAGGGACCCAGACACAGCACAGGCTGGCTTATCGCCTCTCCTTTATTGTCTCCCCCCACCCTCTCCATCTTAGGCCCCGCGAAAACGACAAAACTACCCACACCCACAGTTGAGCCCCCCG